GCAGTTGACTGGCGACAGGAGAAATGTATATAATACTGGTGTTATTAATAACCCAACAAACACACAATTGCAAACGTCAACATAAAGTAGTCATTTCAACTACTTTACATATCAAACTCATTTTGCCACACGGCTCTTGTTATGTACATATGTGCAACGGTGGGTTCTAATGTTACACATTCATCGTTTTCTATGTACTTCATATATATTAATACAGACTCATATGTTGGGAAGTATGTACATTATGTATTCCTAACCTTCCTTGCATCCTCCAAGGGTTGAACCCCACGTCTGATTAGAGCGACACGTAACAGCAATGTCTCCAGTGCTGGAGTCAAATGTGTAGCCATCGTCGCATTCCGTACTGACTTTGGTACCAGCAGTAGTGGTTGGCGTGCTGAGACTGCCGTGGGCTGGTTTGGAAAGCTCTGGACATTTTGCTAAAGAACAGGACAAGAGCCATTATTCACCACACATGTATATACGTCTTTGAATATGATTATAATATGTCAACACACATGTACTTTCTGTATACATCGAGTATATACACTCATGACATGTGGACACACTCTGTGTTACGTACGTACCTTGCTTGCATCCACCAAGGCTTGAGTTCCATGAACCACCGACACGGCAAACCACACTTATACCTCCAGTTGTGGGATCAAAGACATAGCCATCATCGCAGTCGACGTGCACTGTGGTCCCTGGTCTGGTGTCTGAGGAGCTGAGTTTACCATTGCGTGGAGGAGGGAGCGCCACACAGCTCACTGGGGAAAAGGAGAAAATATATCATTTGAGAGAAAGGGAGGCATGTTATAGACACACTAGAAGCAAACCAGAAATTTGCCCTTAGATTTTGTATGTTTTTCCCAACTATGACTGAGTCTTTAAAAATCTCCACGTCCATACACTCATAATACATAACCTCAGAGTCTACATCTACACACGTGTACAGTAAAGTAATTATGTCAACTATTATAATATAATGATGTGTAGGATGAACATTAATTAATTAAGCATGCAGGTTCATAAAAAATAGTACTGTAGGCTCTTTGTATGCTAACCACTAGTGCAGCTCCCCAGAGTGGCGTTCCATGTTCCGTCAGAGCGGCACAATGTGATATTGTGTCCAGTATTTGGATCAAACATGTAGCCTTGATCACAGTCGACAAACACCGTGGTCCCAGCACTGGTACTACCAGTACTGAGTCTCCCGTTAGCTGGAGTAGTCAGCCCAGGACAGGTCACTGAAGAAAACATGAACAATACAACTATATACGTCATAGCCAGTGTGGTATACTTCACTGACAGAAAAATGAAAAGCACTAAAGTGCAAACCCTCGGCGAACTGCGCATGCGCGGAACAGGCTAATTGATGGGTGGGCTATTGTAGTACGAGTTAACTTGTGAATGAAAGCAGTAAAGTGCAAACCCTCGGCAAACTGCGCATGCGTGGTACCGCTAATTGATGGGTCGGGCTATTGTAGTACGAGTAACTTGTGGTCTCCCGCTAGTAGCTCACGGAGAGTCTGACACGGGCTATATACAGTAGTAGATAGCATGCGGCAGTCGATACACACCCTTTGTTGTGACTTCTTGTGCCTTCAAGATGCACAGAGCAATCGTGTTAATTCGCATATTGGCTTGTTCACTTGCTTTTCACGCCGTAACTCCTGAACGCGGCACTTTTACGAAAATCGCCATTTTAAAAATAAAGCCAGTGTAGCGCTGAACCCCTTGGTTTCGCTTTTTTACCTGTTTGTTGCACGTAGTGGCAGAGAACGTGGTAACAGACGGACAGAGAAACCAACCCTCGCTGCGCATGGAAAAAAAGAGCTGTCCTAGGTGTAATTGATTTGTTTGTTGTGCCTTTGCCTTTCTACCTCATAGTTTTCACATGCATATACTTGGCTTGGAGTTGGGCGTCATTGGTGGTTTAATTACCGCGCATGCACGCCGAGGGTTAACAACCTTTGACAGGCTAGAGATACGAGTCAAATACTTTCCATCAAAACGTGAACAATGTAATGTTCCCTCGTGTGAACGACTTTCAGGTTCTCTGCTAACATTTTTGGGTCCTTGCGAGCGCGGATTTAACACGCCATAATTTTTGTTTTCAATGTGTGTCCTCCAGGAACAATGTACTATAGGCTGATTCTCTCACAAACCTTTGACACAGGTAGGAATACCAGCACTCCAATGGCCAGAAGTCTCACAGTCAAGGTGACCGTGTCCTGTCAGACGATAGCCTGAGTCACATGTGAACCCCACCACCGTACCCTCAGTCACATTCGTAGTGTTGGCACGGAGTGGAGGTGACACACTCAGTGTGGAACATGACACTGTACAGGAGGATAGGGAGTACATATACAGACATAGATCAATTGTAAAGCCTATGGACATTCATGCTGCATGTCAACAACGATATCAAAGCAAAGCAAAGACAAATAAATCAACTACACCCAGGAAAACTCTCTTTTTCCAAGGAAAAAAGAAGAGCTGTCCTAGGTGGGATTCGAACCACGACACTCTGCAGTCTAGCAAGCACTCTACAGGGGGCGGCCAACCGTTGACACTCCCATGCATAGTGTGAGAAATTAGTAAGGGAAAAGCCCCTAGAGCTTTTTTACCTGGGGGGGGGGTGGTGTGCGGGGGGGGGCGGGGGGGGGGCGGGGGGGGGGGGGGGGGGGGGGGGTGGGTGGGGGGGGGGGGGGGGGTGGGGGGGGGGGGGGGGGGCGGTGGGGGGGGGGGGGGGACACCCACCCAGGGGGGGGGGTGGGCACATGGGGGGCGGGGGGGGGGGGTGCAGATCATACACTACACTATATGCATTGCTGAGTTAAAATTCATCCCTACATGACCTACCCTCGCGGCCTGCAACAGACCACAGTCTGGAACAGTCCCGTTCCAGACTCCGCTACTGAGACAAGAGATTACTCCGTCTCCACGAATGCGGTTGTCTCCGGAGCAGGTAAAGGCAAGCACAGTCCCCAGTGTAGTTCCTCGTCCAGTAACCACTGACACTCGAACGTTTGCGCTGACATTTTGGGAGTACGGTGGGCAGATAACTGAGATCACAATATTGTACACAGATAGAGAAAAAAGGCAGACAATTTAAAAGTCATTGGATAATTGCATCATATCAATTAACCTTGTTTGCATCCTCCCAGAGTAGAATTCCACTGTCCATCAGAACCACATGTTACACTGGGATCTCTCCAGTCGTAGGGTCAAAGGTGAAGCCAACATTACACACAACACGGACTGTGGTGCCTCCAGTATTGTTTGAGCTACTTAGTCTTCCATTAGTCGGAGTGGGGAGAGCTGGACACCTTTCTGATGACAAGAGAAAGGAGATAAGTATACGTTCTTTTCAGTGCCAGTTTATATCAATAGGCCATATATAGCTCAATGGTGTGTATATGTATGCGTCATTGCCAGTCATCAGTATATAAGACTGCAGGTATTATTCTCACAGGCTTGGGTTCTTGTGTCAAATAGTCATTTTCCTTGCTAAATGCAGGCCAACCCTTGCTGCTTTTATAGAAAGGCTCAGGTAATTCAGGATACATCCTGTATGTTCAATACATGTATTCGACGCAGATACTTGTATCAATGCACCCAGTGCTCAACAACATGCTATTTTCCTGCATTCTAATTGAGTATATAACTCTATCGCAATACCTTGTTGCCACTTTTTGTCATCACATGACATAATATACAACCACTCGTGTTTATTGACTAACCATTTTCTCCAGGAACACAGTAGGGGAACGGTCCACTCCACACTCCCGGGCTCACACAGGTATCGGTGTACTCTCCGTGAATATGGTAGTTTCCTGAACAGCTGAACCTCAGGACCGTTCCTATTGCAGTTCCTCCACCTTGTTCCACAGACACTAGAAGATTTCTGCTAATATTCTGAGAGTACGGTGGACACACCTCTGCAAAATGGAGGAAAATTGGAGTAGAGAATAGGTTCCACAACCAATTTGCTTTCAATAAACAGTCCTTCTTATACCGGTACTTTAGATGGTCGGAAAATAAAATACACACAAATGGAAAAAGCATGAAAGTGGAAACCCTCGGCACTAGAAACGTTGAACCCATACACACGCACTGTACTGCTAATTGATGGGCTGGGCTATGCGATTTACTCGATGTACTCTCTAATAATTTAACCTTCGCTGCTTATGTGCGCCGATGTTTAATGAAAGCACTTGAAAGTGCACTAACCTCACCACTGTAGTCGCAAAGTTTTGTGGTGCTAGTTTTTCTGACATTAATACAAAAGCATAAAGGCATAATTGTGTAGGGAGGGTAAGGTAATAAACGCAATATCCTATGCTAAAATTTTATTATATATACCAAATCAAAAAGAAGTAATGGGCAATCTGAGAGTATGTTAAGAGGCTCCTTACAAATGGAAAACAATACTGGCCATGCATAAAAAAGGCAACTGCATAACTGATCCATAGATTACGTACTGCAAAGTTGAAAAAGGAAAAAGCAGCCCTTCATCTCTCCAGACAGACGTCTATGGACGCAGTGCAATGCCAAACTGTACGCTGTCATTCAAGATGTACGTATGTGGTTCAAGGGCAAGATCGATCCATGTGGGTAAGGGGAGGAACCAGAGCTGTTCAAAGTTGTTAAGAGGCTTCAAAAATTACTGGCCAAACAGTTACAGGTACGTATGTTCCAAAAAATGGCAAACCCTCCATCTATCCAGAAAAAATATTGAGAGGCTAAAAGCAAATAAAAAAGAATAATATACACAATTTCAATTTATCCCATTGATTGTTTTTCCTAATATATTCTTAAGGTTGAAAAAATAAAAACATAATGGGCCAGCCCTTCCATCTCTCCGGACAGACGTCTACGGACGCAGTGCTATGCCGAACTATACGCTGCCCTTTGAGAAACATGGGTCAGTGGTAGATTCATGGGTAAGGGGAGGAACCAGAGCTGTTCCCAGCCAATGCTCTGGACCACCTGACAGTTTCAGTGCGGGTCCGGGATTCGAACCGGGCACCTTATGTGTCAGTCCCCACGTCTCTAACCACTGAGCCACTCGGGCTGGCCACGAGAGCTGATGAAAAAAGGCTCCTCTTATATCAACCCTCACATTACATCATTATAAAAAATGACCTAGACAGGGATCGATCCGGGACCTCACGATCAAATGTGTGATGTCTTATCCATCAGGCCACACCCAATACTTGAGTGGGCAAGGCGTAATACTGCATTATAGCTATAACTCTTCTAGCACTAAGTTTATGGCAACCACTTAAGTTTCAAATCCCATACATACTGCAACATTTCCCCTCAAACCCAACCTTCCTTGCAGCCACCAAGAGTAGAGCTCCACGACCCAGTCAGACGACACACCGTGCTGGGATCGCCAGTGGTTTCATCGAAGGTGTAGCCATCGTCGCACACAACACGAACACTAACACCTGGGTCTGTGTCCGTAGTACTCAGACGACCATGATTAGGGCTCCGGAGAGTGGGACAACTGACTGAGAGAGCAGCATTATATTCATAAAAAAACAAAACCGAACATTTATGCCTCATAACTTCCTCGTCAATGGAGGAAATGATACACTTTAGCACTTTAATTCAGACTATATTTGTCTGATCAGGAGCAGGCAATAAACGGCACAATATGCTGGAATACAAATACAATCTTATTCAGTCACTACTCGGAGGTCTGCAATGGTCGGTTTGCACCCCCTATAGCACAAGCTTTACTATAACTAAAAGAGGGTATTGAAGAATCCTTGACATAAGCCATGAAGACTAAAAACATGTGGTCAGGAACATTTTGAAACAAGTAGAGAGAGGGGGAGAATGAAGTACAATGGAACATCTCGTAAGGGACCCTGCGAGATAGGGACGACCTTTCAACAAAGGACGCCTGTTTCAACCCCATGCTAATAATACTTCAGTGTATTATTTGACTTCTGAGATAGGGACGACCTCTCTACAAGGGACGAAGTCGTTGTCCCCATAGTGTCCCTTGTTTGGAGATTCCACTGTACATTACCTGAGCAGGCCGGAGTGTGTGGAGTCCACTGTCCATTGCAGCACATATGGCATAGCTAACAGAGAGCGTTGGATGGTACCCATTGTCACAGGTTATGTCCACCCGAGTGCCCTCGGTGTATCGATGAAACTGCTGGTTACTAACTCTGAATTGTCCATCATCCCAAGAAAAGTTACGGCACACTGCAAAATCTGTGTGAAAAAGAAAAAGTGAGATGGCGAGGCTAGGTACTGCAATGGACTTTACGAATAGAGAGAAGAGTATACAAGAAGACAAACATTGCACAATCTTAGCTCACCAGAGCACACAGCACTGGCATCTTCTCCGTGATTACAGTCGTGAACCTTGACCCCACTGTGGGAGCAGTCGAGTAGGGACTCCTCGTGTCCAGTACATATGAAGTCATCGAACCAAATGACTCCGATTCCACCTCCAAAGAAGCTTCCTCTGGGAGCCGACTGAGCCGATTGATGTCCCGACATCCGACACACAACGTCAGCATCATGAAGACCCCAGCTGCAAGAAATTTTGGAGTACACTGTGGATACCTCTCCAAAAGGACACCCTTGAAATGACGAAAACTCTCTAAAAGCTACAGCATATAATTGTAGCATGCGGTTGACCTCTCTCTATAAGGACACCCTCTCAAATAATGACACCTCTCTAAAAGGGACACCTTTCTTAGTCGAGACAGTTTCTCGCATGACTAAAACACAGACACCTCACTAATATAGGGCACACTCTTCATTCCCATTGGTGTCTGGTCTCCACTACCACTACCAAATCCTAAATCTCAACAAAGAATATGTTTTCCTTCCGTGCAAGACAGTACACCACCATGAACATAACGAGTTACACCTACTGGTCATCACAGATGGTGCCCCATCCCTGGTTGTCATAGTTGACCTCCACTCTCCCTGACGACGAGCTGTTACCATCTACCAGACGAACCTCGAGGGTATTAGCTGATGTCCCAATAATATTTGGAATAGGAAAATAGATAAGCAAACTTAATGACACCTATAAAACTATTAATTAAGCTTCGGTCTGTATGGAGCAACACCAGGTGAATTAGTGTGGAGGGCTTTGGGAGCAAACACCCACAATATACACCAAATCATGCTTTAACCAATCATAAAGGGATCTGGCCAGTATGTATATAAGTAGAAATGGTCTAAGATAGAACAAAACAATAGGGCACAGTGAAAGATGAATTAATTCAGTTTAGAACATGCTACCCTTATATACTGACACATTCCTTCAGATAGGCTATACAGAACTTTGCACATAATGTCCCTACACATAGTATGTACTTACGGAGGCATCGCACGCTACGTCGGCAGAGTGTTGACAGTTGTTCTCTCCAAAGTCATTGTGGCCACAGTCTGGATGAACATCTCCGTACCAGCACAGAAAACGTTGTCCAGCCAGATGTGACCTGACCCTGCTCCAAAACTGAGGATGATACAAGGTATATAATGCTTGCTTCATGGCATAGGAAAATCGTAACTAACTACGTACTTACCATACGTATGTAAAAACGAAACATTTTATGGGTGTATAGTATGCTTTACTGTGTGATACAAGCCAAAATTAACATGTCTGTAGTAAGTGATTAAGAGGGCCTTACAACTTTTTGAACTGAATTCCACTATGCCAGTACAATAAGGGCTTTTTAAGCACAGATTAGGGTAAGTATATACAGTTGTATATACATACCGTGTAAGAAGTCATTGGAATCGGCTCCGGGAAAACAAGAGATGCAGACAACGTAGCATGCTGAGAGTCCAAACTGTCGTCACACACAGTCTGGTTGTTGTAGTAGATTGGAGCCGACCTCGTTGGCGAGGAGCCGTCAATTAGTGGACTGGGTGTAGGGATTGTCTGGTACAGCTGTGGAGGGTCATGTGAAGAAAGACTATGGGGAACGAACTCTTTGGGGGCCAAGGACACATACAGTACGTACATGCAAAATTTTCACAACACTGTATATACAAAGCTCTAGTAGCCTAAATTTAATGTGCACTGTTACGTGAAGCTGTATGGTGCATTAATACAGCCCCAATGGATTAAAGTTAAATTATAGGTCGGCTCTTCATTTATGACTAAGTGTACTTCTTAATGAAGTGACAAGAAGGAAATTTTTAGACCTGGTTTATGTGAAACAGGGTATATGAGAGAGCCCCAACTGTTGGGGAGTCAAAACTGGGTTCGGTTTAACCCAGCCAGTCTCACGTGCCATGCTAAAAATTGAATCTTGAGTTAGTTCAAGGTAAGGAATCAATTATTCGAGGCTTTTAACATACATACATACATGTGTCTATACCAACAAAAATGCAATAGGTCTACATGTTATACCTGTACAGACAGCTGAGGCATCTTCGGAATGGTCACAGTGTTGTGACCCCAGTCAGAGCGAGAGCGTTGAATATTGTCGGTTCTGTTCCATCACACACGCACATTATCCAACCATATCTGTACACACACACAGACATTAAAAGGAATACATAGAGGAAGGAAAATTAACTATCTAAGGACAAATCTAACAGGAGGACAAACAGGAATTCCATTAAAACATATCTAAAACGGACAACAGCAAAAAAGATACCATAGAGGAAATTAAACCATATCTGATGCAGCACCAGACGAGAAAAAATTGCAAGAAGAACATTTAACGAGATGACAAAGAACAATAGATTGGTGGCCACTCACTCTCCAGATCCTGCTCCGTATGTTGATCTGTGAGGAGCACTCAGAGCTCTGACAAGCCGCGCTACCCGGCAGACAACGTTGGGCGTCGATGCTCGCTCATGGTGGTCGTCGCAACATGTGCCCACACTCCTCGTGGAAACACACTCCACACGACCCTCGCCGCCGTTTGAGTACCGGTCACCAGTCGTCTTACCCTCGAGACCACTACATTGCCACTGGAGGTGGAGGTTAATACACTTAGGGATGGTAAAGTCCACGTTGGAGCCACGTGGTGTACATAAGTTAATAAAAAGCATTTGGCGAGCAAACGCGATGAGTCAATGTCCACATGTGTATTGGCAATCACGCCAACATTCTGTGTGTCTAGTGCCAGTGCCATCACATAAAATGCACAGTCTGTCACATTCAAAAATGAGTGTAGGCACAGCAATTGCTAAGATACATTATGCGTCTGCCACAGTGCATAAAGAGAGATGTGTGAAACTGCCTGGAGTGTCAAAACGGACAACTCACGTAGTGACATCGTACTCCAGCATCGGTTTCGTCATAGGGGGAGCGAGTGACTGGTATCCCCCAACGCGAGCGTGAGAGGTGAGACAGGAGGTGAGGTTGTACTCTGTCCCGAAAACACTGGACGTCGTGCAACCAGATGGCTGGCTCGCACGCACCAGTCCGAAGTATCCGTTGGGAGAGGCCTCAGTCGCCAGAGGTCCAAAGCCAAGATTTCGACATACCACTATGATTGAAACCAATACAGTGAGAGATATATGTACTGCCTAAGATATGGTTTGTACTACTAGATATCAACGCTAAACCTTTAGTGCAGGTGCCTTAATAGTACATGGATCAGATGTCTCTTAATAGTACATGGATCAGATTCCTTGGAATAGTACATGGATAAGATTTCTTCAGAGTACATGGATCAGCTTCCTTAATAGTTACATGGATCAGATTTCTAATAGTACATGGATCGATTTCCTTATAGTACATGGATCAGATTTCTTTAGTACATGATCAGATTTCCTTAATAGTACAGGGATCAGATCATTTAGTACATGATCAGATTTCAAGCCCAACAAATGCCGTCAACAATACAATTCACTTCTTCGAACACTTTCTAGAGTTGTCGTCGGGCATCAGTCTATGTAGAATGACAACAGTGTGTTTCAAAATTAACAATCCGATGCGCACATCTGTATTTAGGTGAGTATGCATCGATAAACACATTGAGTCAAACTCGGCGTCCCTGATGCCAGGAGTACGTCACAGATGCCCAGGTACCGTATGAACAAGATCTCCACTCTCCACATCACTTTCACTGCTTCCTCCATATCTCGGTGGGTCTCTGGGGGCGGACGGCGCACATCATCTGGAGGACGCACAACAAGCACTTACATGACATGAATAGGTATTAGCCATTTTGTGTTGATGGCAAGAGTAAAACATAGTGGAGCTCTGGAGCTCTGCGACAGCTGTTCGGCGTCTTGTTGGCACTCATCAGCACAACTTCTCTCTCTCTGGCATCACGAGTTTATAAGGACTGTCAGGAGCACAGCACTGGCGGTTCTGAACGAATGAGATCATCCCACAAGGCTTGCCACTGGTATGTATGGATTACCACGCTAACCAACGCGGAAGTACAGCTTAGGAGGACCGAACGTCATACACGAGGGACTGTGGGACACCACGTCAACATCAGAGGTAAAATGCTTGAAAAAAATCGCACATTGTGTTTAACTACACTCCTGTAGCAGTGACGTCTATGGGGAAACTAACTACTACAGCTAACTGACAGCTTCAGCAGTTATATCGCTTATGTGCGTACTCCATACAAGAGCAATGTGAAGATTTCCTACATACACGTATGTAGTCGAGATACATGTTCGGGATGAAAAAAATCGCACATCGTACGTTTCTGTAACATTGACGTCAGTGCGGAAATGGCATTTGAATTATTGTGTTTCGCATATGACTGTAAAGAGTGAGTGCATATGTAATATACTACTCCCATCCGTTGGGACCATATATGTAAGCATGCACATTTGAATGCGACCATCGTCCATGCTCAATATGTCTGCATTGTAACAATTAGACGGGCTTTGTGATGCCAAAGAGAAAAAATATGGGGAGCTCTGGACAGTCTGTTTCGGGCTTGTTGGCCTCATCAGCAAAGCATACCACAACTCTCTCTCTGGCATCACGAGTTTATAAGGCAAAGCACCTAGGGTAATGCGACATCGCTGCTAAAAGCTCTGCTCATGCACATATTTCACAGAAAAACTTACTTGAGCATCGGACACCAGCGTCTTTGTAGTGGCGACAGTTGTGGACACCATAACCCAAGTTGGAGCACTCAGAGAGAGAGCTCTCCGTGCCAACACAGGCCACATCATCCAGCCAGATCGGACCTGCAGGCAAATGAACAAGACACGATTCTTCAGTTCTTTGTGGTATTGTAGTGTGGTTCTGGTCACCATGATGTAACTGTCCTGGCTTGTACTATAATTATTTTCTAATCTGATGTGCAATGATACAGAGCTAGTTGACAACTGTTCGACCCCTCTTTTATGACTGTAAGCGGTCTACTATCAAACCTCATCTGCACAGTGAGGTGCTCGAATCTGATACCAATTATCGCGTATATACATTGGCATGATAGTGCATTTGTAGGTACATAAGTATTTAAGTGTAAGAGGTTTTTCCTGTGTGGAGAGGATGAGAGAAAGAAAATAGAATGCACCGTGTGAACATGGCAATTGTAATGGCACGCAAAGGCAAAGCTAAGCAAAACAGGGAGCACACCTTGTCCTTGTCCAAAAGTGGCAAAACTCTCGGCACTGACGGCCACATCATATCCCAACTGACGGCAGACGACTGTTGCATCACTGAGGTCCCAGTAGTCGTCACACACTGTGCCCCACGTCCCGTTGTAATAGACCTCCACTCTCCCCTCCATATCAGTGGAGCCACCCGTAGCCTGATAGGGAGCACCTCTCCTTCAGAGGGTACAGAATAACATAACGTGAAAACCAGTGAATAAAACAATAGTGCTAGTAAATTTAGGACTCTCTCCAAATAGTAAAGTACCACTAAAGTGAAAATACATCACACATCCAGTTCTCTCACGAAAACAAATTTTTGACCTGCTAGAGCATTGCACCTGTTATTTAGAAAACCTATTGGCAGTTGCACAACAACTATGGGAGTTTGACCAGTTTCACAATAGTGCTGAGGCTGGATCTGATGCCCTCGAGAATAAAAACCCACAAGGCAAGCTATACATATAATACAGATTACATGTACATACAGTAATACATATGCAGGTTACAACGAAGTGCAAAGGCAAAGATGGAATTATCTTCCATTATCTATACGCTCAGCTGACTCAAGTTCCTCATTCAAGACATCATTAATGTTTGGTTATATCAGAATCATAGTTTCAAACCCTCGGCGCGCATGCGCAGCGAGGGTTACAGTTCTTCTGTCTTGTCTGTCTGTCTGTCTGTCGACACTTATTCTGGCACTACAGGCTAGGAGGTGGCCAATGAGCAATACCAACGGCTTCAGAACCATGCGAACCTTGAGAAAATATTTGGCGATTTTCCTGAAAGGACTGCGTTCGAGAGATATGCCGTGAAAACAAGCGAAAAAGCCAATATGCATAATCGCGCTGGCTTACCTGGAACTGATCTGCCTACTCCGCGTACCTTGGAGGCACAAGAAGTTACAACAGAGGGCGTGTGTCGACTCCCGCATGCAGTATACTAGTGTAGCTAGCCCGTGTCAGACTCTCCGCGAGCTGCTATATCATACCTACCAACCTGCAGATAAACCTTTGCTTGAGAAATATGTCAAATTTGCTTGATCTGGAGTATTTTTGCTTGATAATGCTGCATGTCCATTCAAAATGTATGGGCATGATGCATCACAGGTTAGCATAAAAAAGAGGGATTTGGCAATTTTCTGGTGGGATAGGCAGTATTTTTGCTTGATTTTCAAGCAAAAAGCTGGATGGTTGGTAAGTATGCTATATAGCGGGAGACCACGAGTAACTCCAGAGCCTAGCCCCTGCCCATCAATTAGCGATACCGGGGCACGCGTAGTGCGCCGAGGGTTTGCACTAAATTTAGGTAGTGTACACCATGTTTTAGCCTAGAGCTACTGTGTTCACTTACACAAAAAAAATAACAATTCAACTACACCCAGGGGAACTCTCTTAAGAGCCCACAACACACTCAAGTACAGGCTAAAGTAAGGGGGTAATTGTGAGGATTGCTTCAGTAGAGGGATCAGGGGGGGTGTTAGTAGTGTGGGCTGGAACTCACCCTCACACTCAGCCCCTGCATCTTCATAGTGACTGCAATCATGATTGCCCCAACCATTACTAGCACACAAATCTAGTGCAGTCTCCAGACCAGTACAGGCGACATTGTCCAGCCAGATGGTTCCAGTTCCCCGTCCAAACTCTGCTCTGACTGTGGCCCTGTTGGCTCCAGCATAGCCCAGCTGCACACATACCACCTGCAGTTGTGTATGGATCCATAAACCACTAGGTAACAAAGTTACATATGCACATAAATTTGCAGATCTGGCTCCAGAGATATTTTACTGGGGGACAATCAGTTCATTTAAGATGGTCCTAAAGTCTATTCGCGTTCACCTTGCCGGTAGGAAATCTGCCGTAATGTAGCTAAACAGCGACCGATTTCGAAATTTCAAAGCGCAGCGTGGTTGTAGTTGAGCGTAGGTTCTATTTATCTGCTTGCGAGCGCGTCCAACGCCCACTCACGTACTTACTTAGCAAAGTACGCGACGTTCCTTTGACCGCGGGTCCAATGTGCGCGCTTACGCGTAGAGTGTGCGCGTGTAGCGCAGCGCGAGCAAGAACCCTCTCTCCCCGGCTACTGCGAGAGCCCAGACCAAGGAAAAGACAAGAATGAGAGGCGAATGACAGTGCAAAGGTCAGTATAAACCGTCTTTACTAGATAAACTCACGGAACTATCTATGCACGTAGAACGTATTCAACGCACGCGCGACATCCACTGGCCACAAATGTTCGCGATATTTCAATTGTGACGCAACCTTGCGTAAACAGTTTTGACTAGTGCACTTCCGGCGGTAAGGTGAACGCGAACAGACTTTAGTAACAACTATTTGGGGGTCTAAGTGTCCCATACAAAGAATATTCATGGCATGAATAATGAGATAGAGGGACCATGTCCACCTGGTCCACTCTGGTGGTGCCAGCCCTGATACAATTCTATAATTCTAGCTAAGCACATTGAGCTAGTCGCTCGTCTTTGACTCCCGGGTGTGGGTGTGTGTGTGTAGGTTTTTTTTGCACAAAAATATCTCACGTTTGCAACAGTGACAGTCCAGCCATCGTCACAGACAGTTCCCCACTGTCCCAGGTTGTAGATTTCTACCCGACCTTCGTTAGGGCCATTTCCACCCACCAGACGAACAGGATGCTCAGACGTCGTGTAGTCTGCGTATGTATGTGTGTGAATACACATCAATACGTACATGTTAAGTTCATCATTTACAACTTTCATTTACAACCTTCATTGCTTTAGACATGAATGAGTAGGAGAGAATATTAGTGGTTTAATCACACAAAACCTCAAGACTATGATGAATAACTATATGTCATTATTGGGGACGAAGAAAGCCCCCTATAATCAGGAATAGAGCATGCAGAATTCCCCCTGTTAGCGTACTAACAGAGGGTGAGTCTAGTCTTGCAATGCCTTAAAGGCTACCTAGTACTAGTGAAGGTAGCCAGTGTCAGATACCCGGCGTGCTACATGAGAAGAGAGACCACGATGACTAGACAGCGTAGTCCAGCCCACCAATTAGTGGTACTGCATCATCACAGTGTCGTGGGTTCAAGTCCCACCCGGGCGTGTTTGCCTTTGCTTTGCCCTCATGCATGTATGTTGATGACAAATGGATGTTTGCATTTTTAAGCAATGCATGCTTGCATCAAGGTTGGTATTATTTAATGATAGTGGGCAAGAAAGAGAGCTTACTTGTACAGGAGACTCCAGCATCTTCCTCATGAGAACAGTCATGATTGAAGACTCCGTTGTGGGAGCACTCTATCAGCTCGTGCTCTGTCCCAGCACATCTCATGTTGTCCAGGAGGATGTCACCCGGTGCAGGGCCAAAGTAGGCACTAAGATGCAATACACAAGGTTAATGGAGTAAAAGTGCATGCAAAGCTGATTAATTTTATATATACATACCCCTGCAAAACAATTGACACAATATGTTCACCTGGTCATTGCTTTAGCTATTTACCTTTAATGCCTATCTAATATTAGTAACACAACCCTTTTACTTGCAACAAACTATTAAAGAAGACTACACTTGGGCCTTCTATATACAACAAGCACATTTGGAAGTAAGTAATGTGGATGGAAAAAATGCCATGCGTCAAGCTAGTCATTTGCCCTCTTAACCCAATGCATACTTCAAAAGGGTAGAGACAGCAAGTTTGATCAGTTATCTGTGCGAGTGCTCACGCACTTATAACTTCTAGAACGACAAGGTTGAAAGTGACAAACCTGGAATAGGCTCTGATGGCGTCTGAGAATCCCAGCATGTGGCAGGCCACCTCGGCCTCTGAAAAACCCCAGTAGTCGTCACATACGGTGCCCCAAGTCCCGTTGTAGAAGATCTGGATGGTTCCCTCGTTCACGCCAGTCTCATTTCCGTTGACGACGAGGCGGATGGGGTTTGTGAACTCATCGTTCACATTGCGAGCTGTATCGTCAGGGTTAGAGAACACCACTTACTGTACATGTTCCCTGCCATACATATACTATATTACGCAACAGTAGTGGGTAACCTTGGATACTACCGACAAGGCCCATCGGACATATCGCTGTTCACGTTCAAGAAGCGAAAAAACCCAAAAATTGTGGTTTCTATATTTTCATGGTCTATACTCAAAATTTTCTGGTCATTCTGAGACCAAGTGTTAGCACTCATTACTGGCAGGCCACTCTATGGAGCAGTTTTGAATTGTGTACCATGTGTACCTGTGCTCTAACTTTAAATGCATTGCGTAGTTACTGGTTGGTCCTTACGTGTGCAAGTGACACCGGCATCCTCATAATGGCTACAGTAGTGCTGGGAAGTAGCCAATGTTGGGGCAGTCTGTTATATACAGCTCCAGTCCATTGCACCCCACATAATCAAGTATATTGGCCTGTACACTGACAAATTTGGTAAACGAGACAGTATGTAATAAGTAATATTCATATTATGTCATTAAAGACAATTTGTGGCACGGAGTAAGTCAATAAAAGATTTCTTATAGACGTTTCGTGACACCGCACTAGCCTACGCATTTAAAATAAAACCATACGATCTGAAAATTGGTCAGTATAATACAAACATTAAACGTAAACCGAAACTACTCTTCACTTGACCTCAATTGTATTAGTATACTTAAACTACACCCTTTACGTACTGCACACACTCCTCAAATTCATACAGCCAATGCCGAAGAGCCTTACCTGCCCAAAACTGAGCGCTAGACAAACAGCCTCGGCTCCGTAGGCGAAGGAACCCGAGCTGCCGGCAGACAACTTCAGCGTCGCAGCTCATCCAGCCATCATTCACATATTGTGCACTCTCCATCCAGAGGATCTTCCACACGACTCTGCATGGTCATTCGAGCACACCGACAAGACGAATAGCTGGCGCGGGCAAGGAGGAGGCGCGTTACACTCAGCTGCTGCACAAGAGTTAGGTAGTCCTTAATACACATCCAGCCACTCAACTAGCAATTGGAACAGCGCTTGCTGGCTTGCCACTGTACGGGTTGACAGCCTCGAATAGAGATTTATTGAGGAGAGTGAAAATAATACATGTTACACTGCTGTGGTTGAATGTTTGAGCAAAGGTGGAGTGTCTTCACAATATGTGAGTCACTACTGCAGTTGCATGGCATGCCTAACGCTTTACGCGCTCGGTGAGCCTTTCAGTGCACAGGAAGCGTCCAACGCACAGCATGTGCTAGTCAACAACAACCTGGTTAGGAGGCGCATGTGGTACGTTAGAATAGGTAGAGAAAGAGGTTAGAAGGCAAGGGACAAAGCGAAACTAGTCACTAAATGTAATCTGTCCGTTGTGACTCCAGCTAATACACAGGGCAGCAGCAGCTTCAGAACGTCAATGTACAGCTGTATGTAACCCTGGCTGCGTACATACACTGTTGTGATGCCACTAACAGTGGATCGGCATCTTTACGAAAATTTGACCCAGGGACACAGCGCTAAACATGAGTGGGAAACGTGTGAGGATTTCAAAGATGTTGGTGTTTAGCAATTTTCAAGTGTTAAGGTGAAAACGCATCCACTCCATCTGCACTAAATATAGAGCAGTATATACTATATTTTTTAAAAAGTGTCTACTCAACACTTGACACCAGCGACTGTACTGTGGGAGCAGTAGGACGGGATGTAGGGGGAGTAGCGGAATCCATAGCAGTTGGCCAGCTCACTTTCACGTCCGTAAACAATCAGTGTAGGCCATCAGTGTTGGC